TTTCCAGGGCCCGGGGACGGTGTGTCCAGGGCCCGGGGACGGTGTTTCCAGGGCCCGGGGACGGTGTTTCCAGGGCCCGGGGATGGTGCTTCCATGGCCCGGGGACGGTGTTTCCAGGGCCCGGGGACGGTGCTTCCAGGGCTGCGTGTGGCGCTTCGCGGCGCTGCCCGCGAGCGGCCGCCCTGGTCCCGCCGAGGGGGAGTTGTTTACCAAGCGGCCGCCTGTGTCTCGAGCGGCCCAGAAACTCATCCGGGGATGAGAGTCATTCATTTTTTTGGCTTCGTTCTGAAGCATCTTTCAAGCTGTCACAGCTTGGCAGGTCTGTAGCTGCAGTGTCAAGATTTAGAATTATTCTGTCGGTAATTGCTTTCTGATTCATCAAAATGATAGATGAGAGGGAAAATGACAAATAATCACAAGTTGGGGTCTTCAAGGATATCCCTAAAAATGCGACTGGAAAAATGTGGTGTGTGTGAGTTTCCTTGTCAGGAGGTCACCTTCACTGTCAGGGCATTTAGAAAGAAATTCTCTTGAATTCAAAGTCGGGAAATGTGGATAACTGGAAAACTGGTGCATGAGCTGCATGGCAAAGGTATTTGCAGGTAATTCAGTCTTTGGTCTTTTTCACTGAACCTGAAACCAGATATTTTCACCGTAGATAACTGTCCTTTCCAAGAGTGCTAAAAGCCAAACGCAGCTTCTGTACTTAACTTCCTTACCTGAAGGAAGGGGATGTGCTCTCACATTTGTTTTTTTTCCCCTCAGCTCCATCACTTTGTCTAATAAAAGCTATTACTGCTCTCCTACTCATACCCACAGACTAGCACAGCTCCATGTGCTCCCTTACTTGTCTTGTTCCCTTAGCTACGTTTGCAGAGACTCTTTTTGCCACAAGTCCCTTCGCTTTGAGCAGCATAGTGGGAGTTGTGTGGTTACATCTCTTACATCTTTTTTATTTTCCTTAAACGTTGGAGGTAGGTGACTCATCATAACTCCAGCTGATACTTCTCAGCGCCTTCTTATTTAGCGCAGTGTGTGAGGCAGGAGCCGCGTCGCGCAGTCGGAGGGGAGTTGGCGATACCAGCGTGGATTAAACAATAAAAGGCTGTGAGGCAGTTGCTTGTTGCTGTTTGCTCTTGTGTGAGTGGCAACGGTTTCAGACTTGCTCCAGGGGCAGAGGGACCCTGGTGGACTTGTGTGTCATGGGCACTGGCCGCCCCAGTTCTCCTTCTCGTCATTGTGCAGCAGCCTCTCCCATGCCGACAGAGCCTTCTCGGGGTGGCAGTTCTTTGCATTTGGGCACGAAGCTTCTTGCTCATCTCTCAGGGCAGAGGGCAAAGATGCTGTTTGGAGCAAAAGATAAGAAACGGGGAAAGTGTAGTGAGGATATTCCAGCAAGAGCTGCGTTCGGCGCAGCTAGAGCAGAACGACTTCGTTCTGCATCTTCCACAAGCTGCTCTTGTTTTTATTTCCCCTTTCCAAACAGACAGACGTGTGTGGACTCTGCAGTGATCGCTGCAATCACTTACGACGCTGCGCGTGCAATTTGTACAATATTCTGTCTTCACAGTGCTCAGCAAACCTCTAGTACAAATCGTTTTTCATCAAGATAATCATCTTTTTTTCCTCGAGGCATGAGTGTGCATGTATTTGCAGGGAAGGGAGGTTAAGGGAGTTTTCAAAGGCTGCAGATAATCTTGAGGGGGGATACATATATTCCTCTTTTAGTCTTACCTTGCTGCCTCCTGTAGATGGGGAATGTGTTGCTGTTTTTAGTACTAATGTGGATTTTGAACTTCTTGCCTGTTAGCAGTTTTATACATAGCCAGTTTGCCTGCAATTCTGCGGTGTTAGGGCAGAAGATCTGGCTCTGTAGTGGGTAATGTAGGGACCTTGTTGCATCTTCTCTTAGGTTCTTATTTTAGCTCCTGGCAGTGCGGCTGAGCTATTTCGGCGCTCCCGAAGGGAGGCAGACGGCTGCTCCGGCAGGCCCTGGTTGGGAACG